TTAACTCATGGATATCTAAGTTTCATTTTTCGCCTGTGACAGTGTAATTTAAGTTGAAGGTTTTGATTGCCCAATAAGCTTTATGCTCGAGTTCTACCGGCAAATGACACAATTTTCCATAAACTAGTTTGAATGGTGTGGTTCCTATGGGTGTCTTATAGGCTATTATATATGCCCATAATGCCTCGTGTAATATACAACCAATCTTTCCTATAAGTGACAATTGTTTTTTCTAAGATTTGCTTAATCTCTCTGTTGGAGACCTCTACTTGCCCACTTATCTAGGGGTGATATGGTGTTGCTACGCGGTGTCAGGCTCCATATTTCACTAATAGTTTTTCAAAGATTTTTGAAATGAAATGAGAACCACCATCACTGATGACAAGTCTTGGCACACCTAATCTAGGAATAATTATATGTTTGAAAAGCTTGATTACTACTCGTGCGTCATTTGTTGGAGAAGCTACGACCTTGATCCATTTTGATACATATTCGACAGCAACGAGTATGTATTTATTTCCAAAAGAGGATGGGAAAGGTCCCATGAAATTAATTCCCCATACATCAAATACTTATACCTCTAAAATTCCTTTTTGAGGCATCTCATTGCGTCTGGAGATGTTGCCAGTGTGTTGGCATCAGTCGCAATTTATGGTTGTAATATGGACATCTTTCAATAAGTTAGACCAATAGAGGCCAGCTTATAAAATCTTAGCGCAAGTCTTTGAAGTGCTTGCATGTCTATCATAGGGAGCAACATGACAATGGGAAATTATGTTTTCTATTTCATATTGGGGACACATCGATGGAAAATACCATTGGCGCCTCTCTTGAAAAGTAGAGGCTCATCCCAATAGTATTGTTTAAGATCGTGGAAGAACTTCTTCTTTTGTTGATAAGTTAGATCCGGCAGAAGTAGTCTAGCGGCCAAGTAATTGACAAAGTTAGCGTACCATGGAAATGTGTTTTTGTGTAGACCGATTCCACAACTTCATTTGTCTTAGTACTAAAAGTTACGCGGCGTTCAATGGTCTTGTTTTCTAACTGGGCTATAAGTTGTTCGTAAGGGAAATCATCGTTGATAGGCACTTGTTTAGGCTTAATACATTCCATTCAAGATAAGTGATCAACTACTACATTTTCAGTGCCCTTTTTATCCTTGATTTCTAAATCAAACTCTTGTAGAAGTAAGATCCTTCTGAGTAATGTTGGTTTGGCATCCTTTTTGCTTAATAGGTATCTAATTGCAGCATGATCGATATAGATAATAATCTTTGCTCCTACTAGGTAAGAACAGAATTTATCTAGAGTGAAGACTACAACAAAAAGTTCTTTTTCGGTTGTGGTGTAGTTTATCTATGCAAGATTTTAGGTTCTACTGGCGTAATAAATCGGATGAAGCTTTTTATCCTTTCGTTGTCCTAAAATTGCACCTACAACATAGTCACTAGCGTCACACATGATTTTGAATGGTAATCTCTAATCAAGTGATTGCTTAATAGGTGCGATGATAAGACCTGTTTTTAATTGTTCGACACTTTTAAGCATTTGTCATCGAAATTGAATTCAACATCTTTCATTAACAGGCCAGTTAGCAGTTTGGTAATTTTAAAGAAATCTTTAATGAATCTTCGGTAGAAACTTCGTAGTTCTCTTACGTTTTCAGAGGTTGAAGGTTTTCTATAACATTTATTTTTTCTTTGTCGGCTTCAACCCACTTGGCCGATACTATGTGTCCAAGTACGAATCCATGTTAGACCATGAAATGGCATTTTCCCAATTTAATATGAGATTAACTTTTACGCATCGTTCATGCACCATTTCCAAGTTCAATAAGCATCCTTCAAAGCTTTGCCCACAAACAGATAAATCGTCCATAAATACATCATGATGTCATCTACAAAATCAGCGAAAATTGACATCATGCACCTTTGGAATGTTGCGGGAGCGTTGCATAATCCAAACGAAATTCGTTTATATGCAAATATACCATAAGGACAAGTGAATGTAGTCTTTTCTTGATCTTATGGGTGTATAGGGATCTGGAAAAATCCCGAATAACCATCCAAATAGCAATAATAGGAGTGCTTAGCAAGTCGTTCGAGCATTTGATCAATGAAAGGTAAAGGAAAATGATCTTTTCGAGTGGCTTTGTTTAATTTCCTATAGTCAATGCACATTCTCCATTCGGTTTGAGTACGTTGTGCTACAAATTCTCCTTTTGCATTGCTGACAACTGTAACACCTCCATTCTTTGGTACAACATGTATCGGGCTAACCTACTTACTGTCAGATATCAGATATATGGTTCCTGCTTCTAATAACTTTTGTATTTCTTTTTTAACTACATCACTCAGAATTTGGTTTATTCTTCTTTGATGTTCTCTCAGGTCTTGCAGTCTTCCTCAAGCATAATGCGATGCATGCAAATTGAGGGGTTTATTCCTTTTAGATCAGATATGTTATAGCCTAAAGCAGTTGAGTATTTCCTTAGGACATATAATAGTTTTTTGTTTCTATTTGTCCTAAATTTGTGTTGACTATGACGGGTTGTTCAAGTTTTATGTCTAGGAATTCATATCTTAGATCTTTTGATAATGTTTAAAGTTTGACAGCTAGTTTCCTTAGGCAAGGCATAGGGTCAGAAGTTAGTGGTATACATTTTCTTAGATTGTCATATCTGTATTCACCACACCAATTATCGTCTTCAAGGATTAGAGGTATTAGAATTTTTAGAGCTTCTGAATATTTGGTCTGTTGTTTCTCCATTTCTTTAACGCATTCATCAATGACGTCCAAGAAAGAACACGAATCATCTATAGCTGGTGCCTTGAAGAATTGTGAGAGGATGAATTCAACTTTTTTTTGCCAACCTCAAATGTGAGTTATCTTCAATATGAGCTTTGGTTGGGGAAAAATGGCTGAAGTATGTGAAAGTTATGCCTGGTCAAAGTTCAGTTGATTTTTCCTATAGAAACCCTACTTTGCCATTTTTTACTTCTGATGGGTGTTTCACCCCAAAATTTTCCCTCCTAATTTCTTTTATCTGGCTTGGACTTCTGCATTCGCATCTTTTTATTAGGTCATCTGCACTAACATAGCATGCATTTGCATTGAATAAAGTGTCGGAGGTTCAGATGTTTGGTAGGTGTACAAGCTAGGGTTTTTACAGTGAATTGAGATATAAATGTTCAATAAAATTTGAGTTCCTTGGTTCGTTCCTCAAGTGGTGAATTATGAATTAGGTCCTCCTCTTCCCAAACACATGTTTTTGTGCATGATATGAGATGGGGCACCATTGATAGGGTTCAAGTCATTCAGTTGGGTTTCTTTTAAAGGCATGTGCATCAGATATGTGGTTCTTGTGAATCATGGAGTACGAAGCTTCATTGTTGTGCTTACGATTATCATCGAAACTAGGGTTCGTCTCCCAATTCATGTGGCTCACTATCATCCAAGGGTCAACTAAATTGATTATTTGGATTACAAGGCATAAACCATGGTTTTGATGCAAGAGAATAGAGTTTAGATTCGTCTATGTTTCGCTCCATCAATTAGAGATCTGTGTATCATGTTTCAAAGTTACTTTTATGGTTAATTTTGGGCTTAAGATATAAAGCATCTGGGAGTTAAGATTCAATGCTGAGTCAATGGGTTCATTAATCAAGCACGCCATTTGAAGCTACCTGAGATTCAACTTGTCATGAATGTTTGAGTTGCAGATGAGGATTGATTTAAGATGAACATGGAATAGAAGGTTTTAATACGGTCCGAGAATAATTCACTTAACTTGCTTGGAGAACCAGTTAAAAGTGGTGTTTTATTGATTAAGGTTAAGGCGTTCGCATCCAATAAAAGCTCATTTCTTCTGATCCTTTTGGTTAATTCTTCACGCAGTGAAGTGATGAATTAGGGTTCCTAATCCTTTATGGCCAGACTTGGTTGGGTTTTCGTCTGAGGTGTATTTCTAAATACAATCAAGTGATTTTCTCAAGGATGAATATTTAGATTTAAGATTTTATTTATGGAGGACGAATAAAGTTGTCTTCTCGTATGGGTTTTTCATCCTTTAGTCAAGTGTGATTTATCTGATAATGGCTATTGGAGACTCGTCTTTCATCAATTCAAGGCATGCTTGTTGTTTAAATCACAAGGTACTGATTGCAGCGTTAATGCACTAGATTTATTTGTTCTTTAGCCAATCAATCAGAGTTGGATACATCATGATCCTAGGTACATTGTCTAATTAGTTTTTGTTGCTCAAGACTCAATTCGTGAATAATTGGTACGAGACAGACCTTTTAGGATGTTCATTCGAAGTCTCTGGGTTCAAATTGGGTTGCTAAAGTCCATAATCGAGAGCTCATTAGAATGTTGAGTTTTTAGCAAAGGAAGTGAATTTCGTTTAAGCATCACTCAAGATTACATCTAATCTCATTCAAATTTCTACTTTAAATACATGGAATGCACAAAAGTGAGAAGTTAATACTCTAAAATAATTTGGATTGTTTGACAAATATCTTGTTGAACTTATATCATGATCACAAGATTTTATGCGAGATATTAATCAAAGTAAATCAGATTTTCAAGTTCAATTTGAAAGAAGAGAATGCTTTGAATAATAGGTATTCCGTCATTTGAAGTCAAGAGTTCGTAAGGTTACATAATCCTTTAAGTTGCATTCGTATCTTCATTCAAATTCTATTTTTCCATTACAAGGAGACCACAACATTATTCCATCACCATTTTCAAAGGGAAAGGAAACTGTATATGATTACATTCAAAGTTCATCAAATACATGAAAAAATCTACATAAATCTATGCCTATCCCAAACACTAATCTTCATCTTCAGTGTTCTTCATGTTTTCTTTTCCAGACTGTTCAATAACTTCTCCGTTTACATCTAATACTTCTTCAATTCTCTTCAAGTCCTCCATGATCAAGGTAACTTTGCAATTTAGTTCTCACCCTTAACGTCAAGCCTGCATGCTGCATATGATTAGCAGCCATCCGAAACCAATTCAGAAATCAAAGCTATCTTGCAAAACAAAATAGAAAGAAAAATCAGAATTGGCAGCTCAGCTTATGAAATGAGAAATTCAAGAAAGAATATCAGAAATATAAGCAGGAGAATAAATCAGAAGGAAGGCGTAAACATTTTCCAGCTTAGTGAATAACCAAAAAATCAGGGACTCAACATATCAGAATTTATAGCTTAGTATCAATCAGATCTTGACCATTCATTGTTATAACCAAATTCAGATCCAAGGGCTATTATTCATCAGGATTCTAACTTCCCTAAACTAACAAAAACAATTGAGCATCCAAAACTTTCTAACAGAAACAGTTTTTAACAAACCAAAAACCACAAACAGATAAACTAATAGCTCCAACTAAGAGAATTCCCTAACTGTTTTAACCTTCTCTCCAAACAGCCCTGCAAACCGTCAACAGAGAAAAAACTCACTCTCCTAACTTTCAACTGTCTTCTAACCAACTTCCCTAACTGCCTACAACTTCTAAGTATAACTAACTATAACCACCCTCCAACTCCCATAATACATTCCAATCTTCTAATAATCTTCTAACAATCTTCCAACCAACTTCTAACAAACTTCAGAAAAAGAATCAAAACTCTCAACATAATTAAACAAACGGTAACAGGAAGAGAGAAGATGGATTCACAACTATCATTCAACACACAGAAAAAAGACTTTCACAGAAACTCACCTTGAAGTTCTTCTTTCTCCAAGTTATGAAGAATCACACCAAAAATCTCGGAGAACTCTCTACTCTCTTCTGAACTGAGTCATCATCTTCATCGCACAACTCTAAATCACCATCTCACCTTCTTCTCCCTGCATCTCGAAACCTTCATCTTCCCCGCTCTTGAACTGCCACTTCACATCCTCAGTCACCTTCAACAAATCTTCATCACCAACCGCAACTCCTTTGTACATCATGACCAAACTCCATTTATCTACCTCATCACCGTGAACCTGCAACAAGATCGCAACGATATTATAGATTGCTAATGGCGAATTCACGCTCTCATTAACGCAGAAATCATTGAGAAATGAAGAATTGAAGAAGATTGGGACGAGAGAAGAAGTATACGTACCTGAATCAGGCTTTTATGGTTTTCTCGTCGTGTTCATCAAATCAAAGAAGCATCAGATGTTTTTTCGATCAGTAAGTCTTCCTCAACCATTCCTCTAGCGATTTTTAATTGTTTCGCTTAGATCTCGAACTAAAACGTATGGCAGAAACGGAGCAAGATGAAGACGAGTCAGAGATGAAAGTCTAAGGTGAAGTGGGACGAATCGCAAATGGAAGCAAACCGGTGCTTAGCTTGACATAAGAACTGCAGCGGGGAACTCTACTTGAGACGAAGGGTTAGCTACCGCGGATTTGGATCAAAAAGTAGAAGAAGAAAAAGTCACGCAGATTCAAAGTTAAGAGAAGTACACCTGAATCGCGTTTCTCTGATTTTTCTTTGATCTTGAAGGATTACCGGAGTTCTCTGATAGGTGAAATCAATTGGATCGGAGGCGAGCAAAGTTGTTGAGCGAGGTTAGGATGAGATCGGCAGAGTCGTGTGAGTTAGATTCGAAGCAAAAAGTGGAGGCAACGCCTTTGATGACGGCGGAGACAGTCAATTAAGATGGCAGACGGCGGAGACAGTCAATTAAGATGGCAGACGGCGGCGGAATTTCCTGGTTTTGTCAAAGGAGAAATTATTGCTGCTTGGAGAGCCAAACGTGGCGTTTTGTGTCTCTCCGCCTTTTCATTATTTTTTCTTTTTTTCTTTTTTTAATAGTGATGATATTTGGGGACCAAATTTGCTGGATAATGGATTGTTAAATCTGATTTGGTGTTTGAATTGGGTCGAAATGTTGTTCCCTGAGCCCATTGATGATAATTTTTTTTGGTATAAAAATGTTTGTGGACTCTTCAGCATGGGCCTTAGTGCCTCTTTTTACTACTATGATACACCCCTGGATTTCTGCCATGTACCCCCTTTGAGTTTTGGTTTTTGTTTTAGTTTCTTTTTTAGTCTTTTTATTTGATTTCTGGTTTCATTCCTCTTTTGAAGTTCAATAATTGAAAATGATAAAAATAGTAGAGTATGATGGAATTTTTCTAGAATTTCTTTTTTTAAGATTTTGATTAGAAATTTTTTTTTACTATGGTTTATGTTTAATAATCATTTTGTTTCTTGAAATTTGTGATTCACCTTTACTTGTTGAGATCTGAAATCTTATGCAGATTTATTGTGTGATATGCGGATATGCTCAAGATTTCGATTGTGATTTATTTTCACATCGATGATACTTCAACACTTATTCCGAGCATTCGATTTCTGACTCTTTTCTTTGATTGAAGAAGCTTTTCGCGGAGACCGTCAGGTTTCTTTGTTTTGATACGCTTCGCTACTGATTGATATTCGTTTGGTATTTTCTCTTGTTTATCTCATTTCACACTTTATTGCTTTCTAGATATCATGAGAAGTAGGAAACAAAGAGCGTACGCTCGAAGTCGCTGTTTAAAGACCTGTAGCAGGCATTCCGCACTTCATTTGATCGATGAGTCACTCAATTTAGAAATTGAGATCACGACTTCGCTCTTAGTGCATGCTCCCTATAGGATTTTATCGCTTTCCTTGATTTCATGTTGATCGATGAGTCACTCAATTTAGAAATTGAGATCACGACTTTGCTCTTATTGCATGTTCCCCACAGGATAGTTTTTATTATACTTTCTTAGGTAATGCTAGCATAGATAAGATCTCTCTACTTGTGCTCTCTTGGGCTAGCTCTCTTGAGTTTATTGGCTTGCTTGCTTGATTTCTTCTTTGTGTGCATGTTTTGAGATGACATGCCCTCGGCATGTTTCCTTAGGAGCTCTCGATTCAACTATAAATGATGATTCGAGATAGACATAGTTTTAGGTGATAGACCCTTGTTATGCTCCTTTAGGACTTCTTGATTCATCTATAGATGAGACTTCTTGATTCATCTATAGATGATGATTTGAGAGAGACATTAGGATCGTTATCCAAGCATGTCAACATAGGGTAGAGATTTCCCTTCAAAACTCAACCTTAGGATCGATCATTGTATGATAACATTAGGGATAGAGATAGGCTAGTCTCCCTTAGATGTTTTTCTTTTCTTTTGCATCCTTGCATTTAAAACAAAAACTTTCTCTTTCTTTGAAAAATATTAAAACATCTAACAACTTCCAAATCCTTCTTCAAGGTAAAAAGTATCAACCAATGCAAACTCTTTTTGCGCCTTCGGGTCTTTTCATTCAAACTTTTTTCAAAAAGAACATGCTAATTCACTTCTGTGCTGACGCGTAAGTCTCCAAAGGTCAAGTTGTGGCAGAAGGGAAAATTAATATTGTTCATTAAAAAAATACAAACCAACAAAAAATTTTGAAGTCGAACTACGACTGCTCTGATTCCTTAAAAGGGATACGTAGGCATTAGGGTAGGGCCCGGGCGAGCACAACTTTTATTTTCCCTACATTCTTTTCTCCTTTCTTTTGCATGCATTCCCTGTACAACTTGGGTTTAGATTTTTACACACCCATTAGATTAGAACATCAAGAGTGGATACCGTAGAGTACTATGGGCGTGTGGGGTTCTAATACCTTCCCCTCGCGTAACAGACTCGCTTACTTAGGACCTTGATTTCACCCTTCTCAGGTTTACTCGATGTTTACCTTTCCCTTCTTGTGGGATAAAAAACGTTCGATGGTGACTTCATTGATTTAATTATCAGTTGATTGTCCAGTCGGTTGTTTCAGCTGGCGACTTCACTGGGGATAGATTGACCTATTGCTGGTCCATCCCGGAGTCGATCCTAGCTCTTGTTTTCATTTCCTTGGGTGTTTATTTTTATGATTTATAGCTTGTTCATTTTGTACATGTTTATCTGAGCATATGTTTGCATTGCATCTTTATTGTTTTCCATATACTGCTACTGTATTGGTTTCCGCGTTTCTTTGTTGGATGGGTGTTACTATTAGGTAAAAGGCCCAATACCCAGGCCAAGTGAAAACCACAAGAACACTAGGAATAGAATGGAACACGACGGATAGGGGATGTAGATTACCCTAGACGGTTGTGTCGTCCATGCTCAGATGAGGTTTTAATGAGGTGCTAACATTATCACGTAAGTGTATGATGATAGTACTCTCAAGCGAACCCGTGATTTTGAGTTATCATTGGCTTTACCCAGACTTAGTCTTGACCCGTGATTGGGGCGGGAATATGATCTTTACAGGTACAGATGGTGACTATGTTCTGATGGTGACCGTTGGTCTGTTGGTGACTATGTGGGTCTCAGATTTATTTTTTGAGTTTCTGGATTCGATGTTCAAGATGGTTCTTTGGTTATGTTCTGGACCTTTGATCCTGATATATTCATCTTGCCCAAAGATTATACAACGATTATTCATGGTACTTGGTTCTGTTGCGTTCTGAAATTGGTGTCGAACCTTTGATCCTGTGATATTCGGATTATTCAGCAGATTTATAAATTAGTTATCCAGAGGATTATACAGTTGTTATCCATGTTGTGTTGAACTTTTGAACCTGTGTCATTGTACATTGCATCACAACATGTTTGTTATACAAAAAAAGGGAAATGTGAAAGATTGTATGCAAAAAAAAGGGTGTTTGAACATAGCATTGCATCCACTCATTCACCTCATGCATCTTCATGCATCCATAGTATGTACTCAGAAGGTACTCATAATGGGGAATCCTTATTCAGACTCAGTATTTTCTTTTTAGTACTGCAAATCTTGACTTCTCGCCGCTTCGTGATCAGATTCAAGATATGGAACAACTTCATGGGGAATTAGACGAGATGAAAGAGCATATGGGATTTTTGATGCTAGACATACAAGATTTGGTTTATGGATAAGAACTCCTGAAAGAAGAAAACACTCAATTGAAGACTTCTCCTCCACCGCCATGTATTCCAGGATCTTCCCATCCGCAATCAATTGTCATTTCCCAAGAGGACCCAAAAGGCAAAGTCCGTCAACAAAGGCCAAAACAGCCTGAATGATAATTTGATCCTATTCCAATGTTGTATGCACAATTGCTTCCTCCCCTGCTAGAATTTCATTTGGTTAAACTCCAAATCTTCACTACAGATGAAAGGCGCCCTAGTGGCTTTGACGATAATGCTAGGTGTGAATTTCATTTGGGGGCACCCGGTTATGATACTGAAGATTGCTTAGCTTTTAAGCACCAAGTCTAGGACTTTCTTGATGCAGGGACAATTCTCTTCACTCCCAAAGGTAAGCATGCAAATCAATCATATGCCAACTGCTACAAAGAATAGGGTTACGCCTTCTCCTCTTCAAACTTCTATCTCATGATTGGAGTCACGTCATCCACAACCTATAATCCCATAAAGTTCTCACCATCAACCGTCTGCAAGTTGTGGAAATCAGTTGCTTAATCAAAATCAGAATGTTCCTCATGTTCATCCAGCTCGGTATGCTCCTCAACCGCAAATCTATCAACAGAGGCATACACAAGGTAAGCAAAGGGATAGGAAGCCAAAGAGGGTGTTCGACATTGTTCCCGTGACTTATGGTCAGTTGATCTCTCAGTTGCTCAAGCTTTCCTTGGTGGAACCCAACTATGGATTTCGATCCAAATGTGCAATGTGATTACCACTCTGGGGCACTAGGCCATTCCATTGAAGATTGCAGGACTTTCAAAGAAAATGTCCAAGACGTGCTTAATGTAAAGGCTATCAATTTCGAGCCAGCCAGTCAAATTTGAAGTCTCCTTTGACTCAGTAAATGTCAAGACTGCCAGATCATCATATGAAGAAACAAGTCCATACAGAGACTAGTCTCCTCAACATGGCTATATCAAATGAAATTTGCATTCTCATTTGTAATCTTTCTTGTTTTGGTTCAGTACTTTCTTGTATGCAAAACTTGCTTATTTTTTAATATTAATCATAATGCATTGAATATGTTTGTCTTGAATTAACCCATTCGTATTCACTCATTAATGTTTTTCTTTGCTTTCTGATACTTAAATCTTGTTAAATTAAAGCAAAAATACCTTTGGAGGGAGGATGGTGAGTAATATACCAAAAATTTCAAATGGTGTGCTTTTGAATAAAAACCCTGCTGACGATGTACATACCTTGTTTCAATTCCTAAACATCGGAGATATAAGGGAGATAAACCCTCGTTAACCCCTTTAAGCCTTGAAGTAGGAGTTTATTTTCTGCTAAAAAATAAAAAAAATCTCACATTTAACCTGGGGCAGGGTAGATTTCAGTTAATCTGATCGAGTGTTCAAAACTCATTAAGAGTGTGCATCAAAGGATACAACAATGGTTGTCCATCAAAAGGCTAAGGAAATTCAAAATCGCAATGGTTAACTCTCATCTATCAGCAACGTGCATCAAGGAGAATGATATCCCAATGGATATCTCTCGCACGTCAAGAGGTTAAAAGACGACGATACCACAACAGTTATTCTTTGTCAACCAAACAGCAAGGCAGTTACACCTTTTCAGCAAGGAACGACTCGAATTCACATGACTGGTTCAAACAAAAAGAAATGATGAAAGAAAGAGACAAAAAGCCTTGCTAAGTCGAAACTTGGAAAACAAGTCGCTTAGGCAAAAGTCAGGACTTCCCGCTGGACTTCAAAATCAAAATCCAAAAGGATTTGTCCAGGAAAAATTTAGGGAAAGCGAAAAAGCGCAAAAAGTAAAAAGGGATTATTGAATAAAAAATCCCTAGTAAGGAGCTAAGTCGTGTGATCAAACACCAAGAATGAAAGAGGTGAGTGATTGTCGTGTCCAGAAAAACCTCGTTTGATTCCTCAATCATTGTAAACTCTTCTTGAGAAATGAGTGCTTATATCGAGTTAACTGAATGTAGGACCGAAGAATATCATGGAGAATGGGTGGGCACCAAATAATTTTGAGCCTTAAATCCTTTTTTCTAAAACCGTGAATCAGGCCACGTTATAACGCTTAAAATTCCTAACTGAAAGCACAGGTTAATTCGAAAGCGCGCTGTAATGAGAATACGGTAATCTGACTCCTAGGAGGCTTGCTAAAACTTTTGAGTTGGTATCATTCCATCTTTTACTTTCTTTCGCATAAAAATTTTGATGTTTAATCTTTTCAATAAAAGTTTCTTAAACTTTAAGACAAATATGAGCTTTGCATTACAATTATCATTCTTAGAATAAACATTCTTTGCATATGAACAAGTGCTTAAACAACAAGTAAGCTTGCATCATGAGCATCCGATGGAAGTTTGATTATCTCAAGGGACAAATGGCTTCAGGATACCGTTGAAAGGTAAATAATTTTGAAAAATGATCTTAATTTGGGGCAAACCTTCTATTAACTTTGTTGAGTAAAAGAAAACTAGTTTCCGAAGCAGATTGTGTAGAAGTTGATTGCCTAGAGTCTCTATCGAGCAATGGTGCATTACTTTCAGTTGGTCCCAAGGGACATATTGCTTTAAGTATTTGCTCGAGAATGAAGCAGTTCAAGTCGA